AAAAAAGATAAAGAAGAGCCTCAGTTTTACTTTACTTTGCTACTCCAAATCAGAGCAAAGGTTTTAATGATCAAAGATAACAAATTTTCCTCACCCTTCAACACAGTTAAAAAGACAACCACAATACCACCACAATCAACTATTAGAGGCATCGCCGGAAGCTCACTAGGAACTTGGTCTCCCCGATGACCGCTCAGAATTCCGGCATAACAAAGGTGGGTCCGCCTTGACCAAACCCTCCAATCCTTTCATTCTCAAATCCTTTTGGTGCTCCTTGCTATGCATTTTATGTTTTACCCTTATTTCTTTTTTTTTTTTTTTAATATTTACATGTCAAAGCACAACCAGTATTTTTTCACATCACCTTGTCCAGTCATCAAGCCATATAAGGAAAATAAACACTGTTAGTGATAGCTCAGCATTTTTAACACCATTATTTTGGAGTTCAGGTCCTTCTTAAACTATAGGGACTAATGTTTGAAATGGGAGAAAATTACAGGGACCAAAACCTGTGGTTTTAAACTATAAGGACTAAAACCAAAATGAGATAAAACTATAGGGACCAAAGATTATATTAAACCCTTAACAATTATAAAAACAAAATAATATTAAACCTAAATCATTCGATCTTAATCTAGCTGATCCAGGCCACATGCATAAACACAAAACCTATTGCCAGGCAAACAAATTTTCTTTGAATTTGGTTGAAATTATTATTGTGTATATATCTAATTTTTTCCCTATAAATATATAACTCCCATGTGTGTGTATTCAAGTCCGTACATGTATTCAAGTCCGGTACAATTTTCTTTTATTCCTTCAGTTTTCTTCTACACGTACATTTTATGCAACTTTATTTTTATCTTTCCATATTTCTTGATATGTTTCAATAGAATAAGGTGGAGGAAGCTAAGTTTCTATACTTCCTAAGGAGTGATTACCATTGATGTATTTCGTAACTTTTTTTTTTTTTTACAGGATTGAACCAAAGAAAATACACAAATGCATAAATAATCATAATCACCATCTGATCTGAAAGAAGGAAAAAAAAATCATAATCATTTGTTTTATTATTATCATTATAGGAAATAAAACTGCCAATACACTTTCGAATGCATCCTAGTATAACATCTGAAAGGTAACCCCTAGCTAATACTATATCATTTTGTTTATTATTAAAAATAACCCGCGAGAAATTCGTGCTGACCTTTTTTAAGAACATTTTCTTAATAAAAACAAATTAAATGAAGGAGGCTGATCTTTGTCTGGCCTTGTGCCTTGTTTAGCAAGATTTTCAGCATTATTCCAAAAAAAGAAAGTAGGAGTTATATATATGTGTCCCTCCAAAAAAATTATTATCTCAAGCCCTAAATATAAAATCTGGTTTATATTACAAATTATGTTACGAACAAGATATTTTATTTACAACTGGAGGTAGTATTACCTATCAGTCTTACCTCGTTTATTTGTAGATATAATTTATAGTGTAATTTGCATTATAAATTTAAATTTATATTTAGGACGGGTGGTACTAGTAATATTGGCATGTAGCTAGATAATGAACTTTCACTAGTAACGTATACTGAGACCTAATCATAGTTAAAATGGAACTTCATTATGAAAATAAAATTAAGTAATATATATATGTCGAGTTAGGATTTAATCATACGCAAGATAGAGATAAAAAAAAATATATATATATATATACACACATACATGGTATGCAATTTAAATAAATTTTATAAGCTAAATATTCATGGCACTTAATATAACACCCAGCACTGCTTTATATATTGAAAAGTGAAGTTATAACTGGGGGAATCACATCAAAGAATTAAATTTAAAAATTATTTATTAAATGTGATACCAAATTTACCATCAGAATCAAAAAATTTCCGGGACACGAGAGATGCGAGGAACAATTTTTAAAACGGTAAAACTCATTGGTCCGTTCAAAAAGGGCACATTTTTGGCTGTGGTGGGTCATCGTCCAACACCTTTCCACATGCATAATTTCTCGTACTTTTTGTCATCACATGCTTCATGGGAGTCAATAATCATATGAGATTTTTGAATTAAATGATGATGCCTATATAATTTAATTAAAATTCAGTCCAAAAAAATAATTTAGCTAAAATTTAAGAAAAATCTCACAAAAACTACCTTCGAGTTTCTAAATCACTAATAAAAAAAAATGTGTTAATATTTTCAAGTCTGGTGTTGTTAAAACCTATTAAAATATTGTTATCAAATTTAACTTGAGATTCGTTAATTCCAAACTTTTTCCTGGGAGATTCTCCCTAAAATTTATTCATAAATAAAATGATGCACGTAATATTGTTGTTAAAAAATATACATTTACGATGTTTTGACTTGTAAGTTGGATCATAAAGATACAAAAAAAACCACATATAAAAGGTTCTCTTTCAATTAATAAGTCTGCAAATTCCTATAATTTTACCTAATTTTGAATTAGATACTTATAATATTTTTTTTATTATTGGATCTTTAGACTTCTTTTACTTCAATAAATAGTCCTTTTCATATTTCGTTCATACTGCTTTAAAAGGTGTTACTTATTCTAAGAACATTCTTATAATGATGTAAATGAATTAATAGAAGGGAAGATGTTAGTCAAAAATGAATTATGATGCTCTTAACTTACAGAAATTTTTTAAAAATTTGCTTTTCAACGGGCCTAAATTAATTAGGAACGGTACCTGTAAAGAATCTCCTAACGGATATCTTGCCTACCACTCCGTGCTCCTGTGTTTCCAAGCGGGATCAAACTCCTAATCTTGGTTAAGGTCAAATGACGCTACAGCCATTTGATCTAAGCCTTCGGTACTGATCAAACTATTTTGATCGTCTATAAATTACTTTTTCACAACCACCATCCTTATCCATCTCATTCTCTTTCACAATGGAAGCTCATCCCCCTCCTTTGAAAATTTACTTCGTACCCTTCGTGGCCGCTAGTCACATTGTTTCACTCTTCGAACTCTGTCGTCTATTCGCCTCACGTGGCCTGCACGTGACCATCCTCACCACTCCTTCCACCACCCGCTTCCTTCACAATTCCTTGCTCAAGGCTCACGCTGCTGGCCTTCGAATCCATGTCCACAACCTCAAGTTCCCTTCCCAGGAGGTTGGTCTCCCTGACGGCGTCGAGAATCTCATCGGCGTCGAGGACTTCGACGTTGCCGCCAAAGTGTACCAGGGAATGCGCCTCCTCCGCCATCAAATGGAGCAGTTCATGGAGCCAAACCCGCCCGACTGCATCGTCGGCGACATTTTTCACCCTTGGACCTCTGACTTCGCGAACCGATTGGGAGTCCCACGGTTGTTGTTCGATGGATCCGGCTTGTTTGCCGCCTGTTTGTCGGAGTCAGTCTGGCGGCCTGACTCCCCGCACCGCTTTGTAAGCTCCAAATCCGACCCGTTTCCCCTTCTGGGTCTTCCCCATCCGATCACCATGACTTTTTCTCGGCTTCCAGACTACATCCAAACTACGAACGGAGTAACCACCATGATGGAATCGTTCAGAGACTCGGAACTGAAGTGCTATGGCCGCATCGTCAACAGCTTTGCAGAGCTCGAAGAGGAATACATTGAGCATTACCGGAAAACCATGGGGAAAACAGTCTGGCACGTGGGCCCCACTACCCTCCTGAACAGGTCATCGGAGGACAAGGCGGAGAGGAACTTGAAGGCGGTGGTGAGCGAGGACGAGATCCTGAGTTGGCTCAACTCGAAGCCACCAAACTCGGTGCTTTACGTCTGCTTCGGAAGCGCAGCCTACTTCACCGACGAACAGTTGCTCGAAATAGCGAGTGCGATGGAATTCTCCGGCCACAAGTTCATCTGGGTGGTTCACAGGAAAGACCGAACGGAGAGCGAAACTGAGGAAGACAGGCAGAAATGGATGCCGAGAGAGTTCGAAGAAAGAATGAGGCGGGAAGACAGGGGAATGGTCATACGTGGATGGGCCCCACAAACACTGATACTGGACCACGCCGCCATCGGAGGGTTCATGACACACTGTGGGTGGAACTCGCTGATGGAGGGGATCTGTGCCGGAGTTCCGATGATTACGTGGCCGTTGCACAGCGAGCAGTTTTTCAATGAGAAGCTTATAACGCAGGTGCATGGGATTGGGGTGGAGGTGGGGGCAGATAATTGCGTCATGATCATGGAGCATGCCACGAAGAATCTAGTGAAACGGCACAGCATAGAGAGCGCTGTAAGGAAGTTAATGGACGATGGGGATGAAACGGTGAAAATGAGGAGGCGCGTTAGAGAGCTGGCAGAGAAGGCAAAGGCAGCAATAGAAGAAGATGGTGGGTCCTCACAAATGAATCTGACGGCTCTGATTGAAGATCTTCAAAGGCTGAAGTCTATGAGAACAAAGGCTGGGATTGATCATGAATAGAAGGCAATGAATTTAAAAGAGGGATGAATAAGGCTATCTAGGAACTCCTTGGATTATCATTTTGTAATCGCCTTGGATTTTATGTGTGCCTTTTTTTTTCTAGGTTAACAGATGGATCTGTGTGGGCGTGTTTAATTTCGATTTTAATTAAAAAAAATTTGAGTGGAATAAGGCAAAATAAGATAATAAGGAAAGGTTGAAATCAATCAACACATGAAGCGGGGGAAAAAATATTAAAGAGATCAATTTTATATATTAATCGCAGCTTTTCCATGCATGAAAGCTTTTACCTTTTTTTTTTGTGAATTTTTATTTATTTGCTTAGGGAATATCATTTGCAATTCTTGAACATTATTCATTCGTTTTATCAGGCACGTAAATTAAAGCAGCAAAAACCTTCGTTTTCAAGTCCCTTTTGTTTTTTAAACCAACAAGAGTTGGTCCAATTGGTAAGGAGTCAGCTCATAATTCACAAGGTCATAAGATCGAATCCCGTTGCTGATATGATGACTTTGTTGGTGGATGATCTGTAAGTACCTCTGTAAGCGCTCTCTGAGCCTGGAGGCATGTCCTTGTCCAGGTGAGCTCCCGGGACCTAACTGACCTAACAAAAACTTTTTATTAGAGCAGGTTAAGATTGCTCCGATTTTACAACTTCCTGGATGACATTGCTCCAAAAAAAAAACTTGTTCGCAGTTAGTGCCCTTTTGTGGAAACTTAGGAGGCAAAAATAGCCTTGCTCCCTTTTTGAAACAATATTATTGTTTTAATAATTAAACAACGCACACTAACATTATAGAAAGGTAATAATATGATGAACATCCTGCATTAATCAACCCAACATATGATAATATAAATACAATAAACTGTTCGTGATTTGCCCTAAATTATTCAGGAATAACACGTGAGGTGAAGGCCGAGTAACTCCCTTTAATTTTTACGCCATGAGAATACAATTAAACATCCTTCATATATAACACATGATTCACAATAGACTTTTTATATAGCTTAGGTTCACTAATTAATTCATGCATGGTCTTGACCAACTAACTTCAAATCTTAACAAAAACTAATATCAGTTTAATATCCCGGCCCAACAATATAATTACTATATTAAGATTACATCTTAAAATACAAGAATGTTCAATTAATTAAATCAATCACACAATTCTTCTGCCCATTATTGTCCAATATTTTTTAAGTTTATGTACATATTTCTTTGAGTTTAATCTAATTATTTTATTTTTTAAATATTTTAATTTCCCATATATTCAAACATTAAAAAACAATATAATTTCCGGGGAAAAACTTGAATTATTATTTTGTCATTGCACATCTTCTGTAGTTTGTTTGCTTATATAGGTTTTGGCAAGTTATTTCAGGTGAAAGATTAAATTTCATGGCAAAAAAAATTCCTAAAACGTTTTACCAATTTTATTAAATAAGAGGAAGCATTAGCGAACACACAATGCATTATTTGGTTAAAACACACACACACACACACAATGCATTAGTGACCTGACCCCTACCAAGCAGCCAGCACACATAACCGGGGAAAAAAAAACAAATCCATGATTCGATTTCTAATTCTGGAGTACTCCGCCGGTATCTTTGGTAGCTTCAGATTGCCGGAAGCGTTGGAGTTCTTCAATCAAAACCGTGAGATTGTTGTGAGAAGATCCACCTTCTTCCACCGCCTTCTTCGCCTTCTCCGACAGCTCCTTTATTCGGCTTCTCATCTTCGCCGCCTCTTCTCCGCCGTCCATCACCTTCCTCACGGCTTTCTCAATCATGTCCTGCGTCACCAACTTCTCCTTCGGCTCGTACGCCGTCAGCCCGTACTCCTCGCACCCCACTACCGCACCGCAGCCGTGGACCTGAGTCACGAGCTTCTCGTTGTAGAAATGGTCGAAGTACAACGGCCATGTTATCATCGGAACGCCGGCGCTCACGCTCTCTAGAACGGAGTTCCATCCACAATGGGTCATGAACCCTCCGACCGCCGGATGGCCCAGAATCAACAGCTGTGGGGCCCACCCTCTTATGATCATACCCTTGTTCTCGCTCTTCATCTTCTCTTCGAACCCTCTCGGCATCCATTTCTCCCTCTCTTCTTCTGTTTCGTCCTCTCTCTTTCCGAACACCACCAAGATGAAGTTGTGGCCGGAGGATTCTATTCCGCGCGCTATCTCGTAGAGTTGGTTGTCCGGGAAGCTCCACGCGCTTCCGAACGCGATGTACACCACCGAGTTGGGTTTCTTCGAGTTCAAGAAACTCAGACACTCTTGCTCTCCCACCACGCTCTTATGGCTCCTTTGAGTTTTCTCTTCGGTGGACCTGTGAATAAGCGACGGTGGTCCGATCGGCCAGAGCTTCTTCCCTGTGAATTTCTCGTACAGCTGCGTGTACTCCACGTCGATCTCGGCGAAACTATTGACAACGATGCCATGGCTTTTCAACTCTGCTTCTTTCATAACTTTCCCAAACTCATCAACACCCTTGGGTAGTTTCGCAGGATTTGGAAGCTGAGACATTGTCATGGTAATCGGGTGGGGAAGCCCCGGCACAATGAACGGGTCGGAGTCGGATTTTAGTGTCTTCTTGAAGTCATCATCTTGGAGGAGTTCCCCGGTGGATTTTATCATGCAAGCGGCGAAAGCACAGTAGGGGAAGAAAACAAGCCTGGGAATGCCAAGCTTTTGAGCCAAATCCGTGGTCCAAGGGAAGAAGAAGTCGGCGACGATGCAGTCGGGCGGGTTTTTCTCTATGAATTCCTCAATGGGTTGCCGGAGAAGACGAAGGGCCATGTGGATTTTGGCAGCTCCGGCGCCGTCTGATACGGCGACGAAATTCTCAACACCTTGGGGCAAGCCCACCTCTTGGGAAGGAAAATCGAAGGTCTGAAATCGCAAATGGCTATGAGGAGTACTGTGGAAGGATTTTCCGACGTTGGAAGGGGTGGTGATGATTGTGACGAGTTGGCCTCTGTTAGCGAAGAAACGACCCAACTCGCAGAGAGGAACCATGTGGCCTGGTCCTGGATATGGCACGACGTAGACTTTGAGAGGACGAGCGGAGGAAAGGTCCATGGCGGCGGTGATTATTTCAGTCAAACGTTGAGCTTGAAACTTGCAATTGCCGACTGAACAAGGAAGAGGTTGTGTCTATACCATGATGCTGTCGGCGTCTAACTTGATTTTATTTATGCTGATAATTTTTTTTATTACTTTTATTTTTTTAATGATTCACGGAAATAGAACTATACATGCCTCGCGAGGAATGCGTTTTCATTTGCTCATCCATTAAAATAACCCGCGAAGAGCACGCTAGCTATATGAATACTATTCCACGTACATCTGAGTGTGGTTCAATTTCTTGTTTATGCATTCTTCAGGAAAACTCCTTCCCAGTTATTTCTTGTAAAATAAAAAAAGGCCATGAGTTAGAGCAGTTTGGCTGATTAGTGATGAAAAAAGTTGACACTAACATGTTATGTTATGAATGTGTTGGAGGTCTTTGTAAGAACATGGTGGGGCATATTTTATAGTGATAAAGTGGTTTAGGCTGTGTATGGTATGAAGGATTTGGAAAGGAGGAAAGGGAGAAGGAAGGATTTTAATCATTTCATTTTGTTTGGCAAAATAAAAATTTTAGGAGGGAAGAAAAATTTTATAAGATTTTAATTTCCTTCCCCTCCCCTCCAAAATTGGGAGGATTTAAAGGGAAAGAACAATATTTTGCCATGTTGTGACCATTATGGACATTGAACTTGAGACTAATCCCTTTTGGGTTTGGAGCGGTTAAGGAATAGCCCTCCGAATAAGTGCGCTTCTCAGGATGCAAATTTGTGTTCTCCTCCTTATGAGGGTGAGGTTGCTACCACCTCAACCAACAGCTTGTTGGTTATGCCCATGTTTATTTTTAATATTCCTATATCATCCTAAACTCTTTTCTTCTTCTCTCTGGATGCAAACGCTACTCTCTCATTTCCCATACCTGACACAAAGTCAATATAATAACAAACAGATTGTCCATGTCATATTTTGAAGAGTTCAGTCAAAAGCCAATAACATAACAAAGAGATAAAAATTAAAACATATAATAATTATTAGGGTTAAGGTGCGCTCAACACCGAACTATTTTTCCAGGTGCGTCCAGTACCCTAAAGTAATTTTCAGTGCATCCAGTGTCCCAAACTAATTAAAACGGTGCATCCATATCCTAGGCTAATATAAAAGTTAAGTTTGACCGTCACCTTGCTAACTCAGCCGAAGGTTGATTGAAAAATCCTATGTGGTAGACACGTAGGCATCTGATGTGTATTATTTTGACGAGTTAAGATGCGCTCAGCACCCTGAACTATTTTTCCAGGTACGCCTAGTGTGCTAAAATAATTTTTAGCGCATCCAATGTCCCAAACTAATTAAAACAGTGCATCCATATCCCAAACTAACAGAAAAGTCTCGTTTGACCGTTGCCTTACTGATTTAGCTGAAGATTGACTGAAAAATTCTACATGGCGGACACGTAGGTGTCTAATGTGTATTATTTTGACTAAAGCTCCCGAGACGAGCCCAGTGGTGGCGAGTGTTTTCTCGAAAGGCGACGGCGAAGTCAACAGAGTGACCAAGGAGAAGTTTAATGTGTTCTACGTGGAGGAAAGCAAATGCGAGTCGGATGAAGAGTTAACAAAGATGGAGATGGAAGTGTGCTGTGACGGCGATTGTGGTTTCAGATTAGAGTGGTGGAAGAAATGGGATAAAATGTTAAAGACGAGGATGGAATTGAATAGGTGGTACATGCACCAGAATTTAAGAGGGTGGATCGGTGGTCTTTTTTTTTTAAGTTTAAAAACTGGCAGAAGATAAATGTTAGAAGAGGAGGAAAAATTGAATTTTCAGTTAAAATAATACACATTAGACGCCTGCATGTCCGTCATGTAGGATTTTTCAGTCAACCTTTAGTTGAATCAGCAAGGTAACAGTCAAATGAAACTTTTCTGTTAGCCTGGGATGTGGACGCACCGTTTTAATTAGTTTGAGATACTGGATGCACCAAAAATTATTTTAGGACACTGGGCGCACCTGAAAAAATAGTTTGGGGTGCTGGACGCACCTTAACTCGTCAAAATAATACACAACAGGTGCTAACGTGTCCGCCATGTAGGATTTTTCAGTCAAACTTAACTTTTCTGTTAGTCCGGGATATGGATGCACTGTTTTAATTAGTATGAGACACTGGATGCACCAAAAATTACTTTCGGACACTGGGTGCATCTGAAAAAATAGTTCGGGATGCTAGGCGTGCCTTAACCCTAATTATTATTATATATTGTAAGTATAATCATAAAATATAATTTTTACTGACAAAAATATTATAGAATATAGTTTTAAATAATGTTAAATAAAATAAGGGTAAAATTGTCCATATAAAAATATTTTTCCTCTCTTCCCCTTATGAACCAAATAAGGTAAAATTAAAACTCCTCCTCTCCCTTTTTTTTTTTTATAAATCCAAACAAGGTAATATTAAAATCCCTCCACTCTCTTCTCTTTCCTTTTCCTCCATTAAAATTCCTGCCTTCCCTTTCTTCCCATTAAACCTAACAGTTAGACTTGGATTATTTGGATTAACTTCAATTAAAAATAACCTTGAGATTTTCACCAAAAAGAAAAGCTTCAGATTGCTTGCAAAAAGTACTACTATCTAACTTTTAATTTGGTTCTAAACATAAAACCTCAATTTATTTTGTCTCTCATATTTATTTATTTTTTAAGATAGTCCTTATAGTAGTTGTACATGTTAAATATTTTTGTCAGATAATACTTAATTAACTAGGATATTTTAGAAAAATAACACATATTTATTGTAAATAACTAATTTAACTAATTTTTTTATTTTATTTAAATTAGTAAACTAGTTTTTATATTAAATAGAAGATGCAGTATGAAGTTTCATGGGCCACGTGCGATTGAAAGCCGTCGATGGAAAGAAAACAATGGCATGTCAATTGCCAAGGATCAATAATCACCCCAAGTTAACAGAATATAATAAAATATTTTCGAATGCACTCGCTTTCCACGAGTACTTCGTTTCACGAAATAAATCAACACAGACACATATATATATATTTTACACATGGAAAGAAAGAAAACATTTTACGATATATACAGAAGCCTGAAATACTTTTTTAGAAACTGATTTTTAATATGCTATTCTTGGTCTCTGATTTGCATAAGGCCATGGGTATTAATTAATTTTGGTTATAAAAAGCCGTATCCGCCGTCCTCGGCCACTACCACATCGAAGAAGAGTGAGAGTTTCGGTAAATTGGGCATCGATAGATTATGGGCTCTCTTCAACGTCCCTTCAAGCTTTATTTCGTTCCATTTCTCACTCCCGGCCACATGGTCCCACTCTTCGAACTCGCTCGCTTATTCGCTGCACGTGGTATCCACGTGACCTTCTTCACCACTCCTGCCAACGCCCTCCTCCTCCGTAAAGCCGTCGACAAGGACGTCGCCGCCGCCCGTCCTATCTCCCTCCACGTCCTCCACTTCCCTTCTAGAGAAGCCGGCATCCCCGATGGCATTGAGAACCTCCTCGACGGTGCCGTCGATGCCCAAACTCTTTCTGGCGTCTGCAAAGGCATTGCCATCCTCGAGGAACGCTTCCAGGACGCCATTCTCCAAAACCCACCGGACTGCCTCGTCGTCGACTTTGTATACTCGTGGGCCTCCGATTTGGCGGCCCGACTCGACATCCCCGCCATCGCCTTCAACAGCTTCTGCCTCTTCAGCGTATGCGCCATCCACTCCTTGAAGTCTTTTGCCATGCCGGGTTCGGGTCCTTTTATAATCCCGGATCTACCCCACCAGATATCCATGAATTTTCAGCCTCCAGAGGAATTCAATTCAGCTATGGTTTCGCGAATAGAAGCTTCGTACAAGACCAATGGAATCATCATGAATAACTTCGCGGAGCTTGACGGCGAGTACGCTGAACATTACGAGAAGATCAGTGGGCATAGAGTTCGGCATATTGGGCCGGCCGGACTTATTCACAGAACAGCGGAGGAGAAAACAGAGAGGAGCCATAAGAGCGCGGTGAAGGAACACGAATGCCTGAGTTGGCTTGACTCGAAGGAACCCAACTCAGTGCTCTACGTCTGCTTCGGGAGCTCCTGCCGTTTTTCCGACGCCCAACTCTACGAGATTGCAAGCGGGCTGGAATCCTCCGGGTGCGACTTCATCTGGGTTGTCTCAGGGAAGGACATAACAGAGAACGAAACAGAGGAAGAGAGAGAGAAATGGATGCCGAAGGGTTTCGAAGGGAAGGTGAAGCGCGAGAACAAGGGAATGGTGGTGAGGGGGTGGGCCCCACAGCTGTTGATCCTGGGCCACGAGGCGATCGGCGGGTTCATGACTCACTGCGGGTGGAACTCGGTGGTGGAGGGCATAACTGCGGGAGTTCCGATGATAACTTGGCCGGTGCACAGCGAGCAGTTTTACAATGAGAAGCTGATAACGGAGGTGCACGGGATCGGGGTAGAGGTGGGCACAGAGGAGTGGGCCTTGTGGGTGTTCGACGGCGGGAAGAAGATGGTGACCAGAGATCGTATAGAGAAAGCAGTGAGAAAGGTGATGGACGGTGGAGATGAAGCGATGGAGATGAGAAAACGAGTGGGGGAGCTGGGCAAGAAGGCGAAAGAAGCAGTTCAAGAGGGAGGCTCATCGCACACTAATTTAACAGCACTGATCACCGAGCTTATCCGGTGGAGAGAGGCTAAGCCACTTGATCAAATCCAAAAATGTGAAATGTAGGGGTGATAGTCTAGGAGGCTCAATTTTTTCCCAGAAATTTTTATTTTTATTTTTGTTATGTTAAGAATTTTTTTTTTTTAATCTCAGCTTGATTTAATTTTCTATTTTACATAACCTCTTTCTTTCTTTCTTTTTTTGCCCTCTCTCTCACTTTCGACTTATTTCTTCTCTCCCTTTGTATGGCAAGCTAATAAGTTTGGGCAGAAATGGATCCTTTTAAGTTTGAAGACGAGTTAGATTAGTGGTGAATTCTTATCTATTTGTAAATATGCTCCGTCATATGGTTTTTCTAATTAATTATTGTTGATATTACTCAGTGAAAATATAACCGATAGTTCTCGGTAAATTGAGAAATATGCTATAATTAATAAAGAAGAAGAAAAAAAAATTCTTCAAATTTTATATCATGAGAATTATTTACGTAACATTATACGGATATATCGTGCTTTCTGGTTTCTTGTTTTCATTTATAGTGGAACTAAAAACTATGAAGTTCAGTTCTATAGCCCCGGCTTCAGTGTTAATTGTATTTAATTAGGAAGAAATTAATGATTGTTGGTGAAACATGATTAATAGAGCTATATCTCCCTTATATTGGACTTGAATAATACAGTGATGGGATACATGATAGATAGATTATGGGCCTGTTTGGGAGGACTTAAGAAATTCCCTATAAACAGATTTTACGTAAGTCGAGACAAAACTCTTCTCACATATTTATCTTGTGTTCCGTAAATAATTATTAAAAAATAACTTTTAAGCTATTTATAAGCTGTTCCAAACAGACCATATATATATTTATCTCATTTTTCTCTTACACAGCTTTTTAATCCAAATTAGACGTCTTACCCTGTGCATCGTGGGATGATACATTCTTAGAGTCTTTTAAGTAAGATGTAATTTTTGAAAGTAATAAATTTATCATACCTATATGTAAATAAAATGATTAGGTGAATAAGTGACCTGGAATATTGGTGAAATCGCGAGACATTTCAACTCCAGAGTAGGGTTGTTCACGGGACGGATCGGGACCGGAACAGGCCCGTTCCGGTTCCGTCCCGATGAACAGTAACGTGACAGATTTTATGTCCCGGTCCCGGTCGGGACAGCACGGATCCGAGACGGGACCAAGACGTCTCGAAAATATATATATTTTTTATTTTTTAAAATTTTTTAAAATTTTTTTAAAAAATCTGATTTTTTAATTATACTTTTTTGAGTTTAAATCTTATAAAAACATCTTTTTATTTTCTTTTTTATTTGTTTGGGCACTCTTAAACAAAAGCTCAAAATATTACATATAATAGTCATTAAAAACTCTAAACAAAAGCTTTTAACACAATAAAAATTCTAATCATCAATAATCTCAAATCATTAACAAATATAAAAACTCTAAATAAATATATCCATAGTTCCATACAATAGTCTCAAATATTAAAAAAATATAAAAAAAATGATATTATATAAATAGGATAAAAAATTTAAAAAAATTAAAAAAAAAACCGGGACGGGATGACCCCGTCCCGTGTCCCGTCCCGTCTCATCCCGGTCCCTTTTTTGTCACGTCCCGTCCCAATAAGACCGGGACCAGAACGAGCCGACCGAGACGGGCCGGTCTTGAACACCCCTACTCCAGAGAACATAGTACTTAAACATTCTATTGACTGATTCCATCAAATAATTCATTTCTCATTGGGAGCTAAGAAAAAATGGCAAAATATTAAGAATGACGAGGGAAGAAACCAAAAAAAAAAAAAGAAGAAAAATTTGGTGACATATCTTACAAACAAAGCAAGCCTTGTTATATTATATTGGAATCACATTCTGTAGTGCTTCAGAGTTCAGCGTTGACAATATTTCTTGTCACATTTGTTGGTTTCTTTCCTGAATCCACTTGGAAGAACCCATGGATTAATGGATATGGTACATTACTTTCACATACTTATTTCATATTCAGTAAATCATGATTAAAAAATTGCTTATACTCTTCCGGTCCTTAATATAAGACCCATTTGACTAATTTGATTAGATTAAGGAAGTTAGGTAAGTTAGTTAATTATAAGAAATGTGACATGTTTTTCCTAAAATACCATGATCATCTTTCTTAATACCTTTCTCCCTCTTCTACTTGATTATGGTTGAGGGAATATTTATAGGGGTAATTGAGAGAAAATTGATAAATATGATAAATGAGTCTTATATTTAGGATCAAAACCAACTCAATAATTGGGTTCTATATTAAGGACCGGAGGAGTATGTCATTTTAAATGGGCTTTTATTTTTATTTCAAACTCATTATAATCTTCAATTTCATTTTCACATTTCATCAACCCTATGCGTCATTAACATTATGGCTTAGATGGAAAACTGAAGTTTCTAGAGTTATCCTATTTCCGCTTCACATGCAAATAAATCATTTTTCTGGCATCTATGTTTAGCAAATTTATTAAATATGTTGAAAAACAAATAAACTTGCATGGAGCCCAGCAAACACGCATGAAAACCCCTCTCAAAATTTCATATTTCAAGTAGTAAGAAGCAACAGCAATTTTCCTAACGGCCTTTGTATGATGTCTGAAAACGAACCAAATAAGTCATGTTCAATCAAAACAATATACTCTTCCGGTCCTAATTATAAGACCCAATTGATTTATTTGAAGAGATTAAGGAAGTAAGTTAAGTTGGTTATTTATAATAAATAAGTGTTGTTATTCCTAAAATATCCTTGCTAATTAAGTATATTGGCTAAAACTATCATTATTAGAAGGATTATCTTGGAAAAAAATGCATAAATATAAGAGAGAAAATGGATTGGGTCTTATAATTAGGACCAAATAAAAAGTCAAATTGGATCTTATAATAAGGACCGGAAGAGTATATGCCTTTCGTCAAAGGAAGTGAAACGGTTCGATATTGAATAAGCGGGCTCTCCCACACCACTCCATAATTATTGTACCACCAACACAAAAACCAATGAAAACCCACCCCTTCGTGTGGACCAATCAAAGGTTTATAAGTTATATAGATAGATATAATAGATATATTTTTATTTATTATGTTTCTACCATCATCACATTAAAGTGAGAATGAAATGATTAATCACTAAAACATTACACAACAAAATTTTTTGTCCTAATAAACTGCTTATTTAATATAAACATAAAATAATTAAGCACAATGGTTCCAAAGGGTTATTTGTGGCTAAAAGATAGTAAATTGCAAATTGCATAATCAATTTTTTTTTTTGTGGCCAGGCATAACCAACTATTGACCCCTCTAATTGTTATACATATATATCATCAAAACAAAACACAAACACATTTGTTTCACGCGTGATGAGGATGAAAGGCAATACACCATCTGGTGATATGTGACCCAGCAAGCTGACCTTTCAACTTCAAATGATTCTTTGCAAATTCTAAGTGTCCATCACAAGAGCAAGAGAAAGCATTAAATTGGCTAGTTCAAAATACACTGACAAAACGAATGGCAATCAGAGCATCAAATCAGATTGAAAATGATGAGGCCGTCACTAATTTTATTTGGGCTGAAAATGGTGCTGGTGAACATACTTTCGACTTGGAGACTTCAATTAAAAGGCTTGGATCAAGTCTTATACATGAAAAGACTCATTTGGGCCTAAATAATAAGATTTTAGGCTTAATATGCTGATTATATTTTATTAATTATATTTATGCGAAAATTACTAATTAATTGGCAGATTTGACTTTTGAGTTTTCCAAGTGAGTTGTATCAAATCTTTCTAATTTCTTTTAAGTTAGTATTTAATATTATGAGTCTCTAGGTTGCATTAAATGTTTTAGGGTCAGATTTAAATGTATCTCTTTAAAACACTTTGAACCCTTCATTTTGTATTTAGACTTGTTTTGAGAAATCAAATGTTGCATTTTTGCACTTCCAAACTTGAGAATAGATTCTCTATAGGGTTCTTCATTGAACTAGCTGACTTATTAAGGCTTGATCAGCCTTGTGGCGTCTTTTATCACTTTGGGTCTTCGTTTTTTTGTGCTCAAGGGTTCAAGTGGATTGCCAGACTTTTGTTTAGTTTTTTTGGGTGAGTATATTTCAGATTTGTTATGGGTTCGTGGGATCTTTCCTTATGGGTGCACGCCATCCAGTCCATAATAAAATTGATTGATTTGAATAGATCAAGAAAATTAGTTATGTTAGTTATTTATAATAAATAGATATTGTCTTCTCTAAAATATCATTGCTAATTAAATGTATTTATTAGAACTACCATATTACAAGGACTATCTTAAAAAAATAGATAATATAAGAAACAAAATGGATTAAGGTCTTATATTTAGGACCAAAATAAAAATTAAACAAACTCTTATATTAAAGATCAAAGGTGTTACATCAGTAGGCAGAAAAAGTTGCGGAGAATGAAATATTTTAAAAGTTTTCAGCTAGGAAGAAATATATATATATATATATATATATATATATAAAAGGAGGTCGTGTTCGGCAAATCAGCACTTGCTTAAAGTTCAATAAGAAAAAAAAGATTTGACAGGTTGTGGGCAGAATGTGACTTTGTCAATTATTAAATCGCAAGAATTATGCATACAGTTCACAAATAAGAAAATTAAGTATTTTCTTAATCTATTTTGCATGTCAAACTTCTATATTTGTAAGTAAATAGAACCTGTGGAGAACTAATTTTTTTTATTCGAGACTTGCATATGTGATTTTTCGAATTAAATCCAAGGTCTGCATGTGACCTTTCGCCTCCTCCATCAGCCATGCGGAAAGGTTAATGTTGACAATGGATGATTATGCTCGTATATAAATAACAAAAATATTACCTATAATAAACTAATTGAACAGCATATGGTCTTGCGCAGGGGTTAGGTGAATAGAGTTCAAATCTCCACTAGAAAAGGTACTCGTATTCAGTACTTGATAATATCTTGAATAGAATTACTTCTAATAAAAAAAAAATATCTGCACTTAGCAAGACTAATAAACTAATTGAATTCGGCTTTAATCGGCGTTAGCAAACATTTGAACCAGCCGTGGAGCGGAGACACACATTCGTATATGGACAATTTGCCAGCTACGCCAGATGCTCAATTACGAATAAATTCTTGATCTAGCTAGTGGGAAAAGAACAATTATATCAATGGCAATTACTATAATATGTTCTGATAGTATTATAACCGATGCTGCTGGTTTTGATTTTTAATGGGGTGTTTGGGCGATAATAAAGAGCACTTTTTATGTTTTCATATTTATCAAGACAAAATTTCTTTCACATACTTATTTATTATAAAATTACTTTTAAAATCATAATCTGGTTTCCATCTGAATGCTCCTAAGTATCATTCAGGAGAGTTTCCATATTGGCAGTTAGCTTCTTCACTTGCAGGTATATACAGTTCTATCAGAGAAGCCATTAATTAATATTACCTCCGGTCCTTAATATAAGATATTATTTGACTTTTATTTTAGTCCTAAATATAAGGCCTCAATCCACTTTGTCTTTCATATTTATGTATTTTTTTCCCAAGGTAATCGTTATAGCAATGATAGTTCTAACCAATACACTTGATTAGCAAGGATATTTTAAGAAAGACAACACCTATTTATTACAAATAATTAACTTAACTTTTTTCCTTAATATCCTCAAATTAATCAACTAGCTCTTATAATTAGGTCCGGAGATAGTATTATATTTAATCAGATAGTATAGAGCTTAAACAGGAATCACTCTCCTCATTTTCGGGTCTCAGACAGTAACAAGACGATATATAATGCCAAAGCTAGTTAACTTCACATGCATGCAATTTTTGGAAGACGAATAAAAATATATATAATATATACTCCTCCAGTCCTTAATATATGACCTAATTGTTAAGTTGATTTTGGTATTAAATATAATACCTATTTCTTATATTTATCAATTTTTTCTAAATTATTCTTATGGATACTCTCTCAACCATAATTAAGTAGAAGAGAGAAAGAGGATATTAAGAAAAATGATTATAGTATTTTAGAAAAAACATGTCATATTTATTATAACTAACTAACTTATCTAACTTCCTTAATATAATCAAATTAGTTAAATAGGTTTTATATTAAGGATTCGAAGAGTACTATATATCCACAAACCGGCCGATAGGAACTGGAATATACCCAAGACTCTGGTTATTAGCACCAAACCAATGATCTCCCTCTTTAAAACCTCTTCTTCTTCGTCTCTCGTTATACGCAAAGGCCATATATAGTAGCACGAGCACCAACACAATCACCATGGCAGAAATTTCCAGGCCTCTCAATGTCTACTTCCTGCCTTTCTTGGCACAAGGCCACATGATCCCTTTCTGCCAATTTGCGCGGCTCTTCGCTGCACGTGGCTTGCACGTGACCATCATCACCACCCCTGTCAACGCCCGGTTCCTCCAAAGCTCCATTGAAGAAAGCAACGCCTTGGGCCACCATATCCAACTTCACACCGTCAGATTTCCCTCCGATGAAGTAGGTCTCCCCGACGGCATCGAGAACTTCTTCAATGTCACAGATGCCCCCACTGGTCATAAACTTTACGAGGCTGCAGGTTTGCTCAGAAATCAAGTGCAGCCTTTCATGGAGGAAAACCCACCCGATTGTATCGTTTCGGATTTTATGTACCCGTGGACAGCCCCGATAGCTACCCGTTTGGGGATTCCCAGGATTGTGTTCAACTCCTTTTGTCTTTTTGCTGTGTGCATGATCAGTGCGCACAACAGACAATTACAGTCACTACCGCCGGGATTATGCAATGATCATGATGGTGATAATTCGGGTGGTCCGTTTGTGGTTTCGGGTCTTCCCGAAACAATCACCCTCCCCCTTCGACCACCTAAGAGGATTTCTGAACTGCTCGGAAGCTTGATAGAGGCTGATCAGAAGAACAGCTATGGGCTAATTGTGAACAACTTTAACGATCTGGACGGTCAAGATTACATCAACTATCACCAGAAAAGCACCGATCTGAAGGTTTGGCACATTGGTCCTGCTTCTCTCATGTTACGAAACATACTACCAAAAGAAGATCTTCATCCACAAACCAACAACGAGCATGATGAACTCATAAGGACATGGCTAGATTCCAAGGAATCTAATTCTGTTGTTTACGTAAGCTTTGGCAGTCTGTGTCGTTTCGATGACCCTCAACTGTTCGAAATAGCTTGTGGATTGGAGTCTTCTGGATGTTCCTTCATCTGGGTCGTGCACAGGGAATCCAAACAGAACAACGAAGAAGAAGAAGAAGCAGAAGAAAAGAAAACGTGGCTGCCGAAAGGGTTTGAAGGGAGGATGAAGAAGGAAAACAGAGGGTTGATCCTCATGAAATGGGCGCCACAGGAGTTGATACTGAACCATCCGGCGACCGGTGGGTTTCTGACGCATTGCGGGTGGACGACAGTGACGGAGGCGGTGAGCGCCGGGGTTCCGATGATGACGTGGCCGGTATTCGTCGAGCAGTTCTACAATGAGAAGTTGATAACGCAGGTGCACGGGTTTGGAGTGGAGGTTGGGGCAGAGGAATGGAACTCCGGCCCTTATGATAGAAGGGACAAGGTGGTGAATAAGATGAAGATAGAAAATGCTGTGAGGAGGTTGATGGACTGCGGAGAGGAAGGTGAGAAGGTGAGAAGGAAAGCCATAGAGATGAGAGAGAAAGCTGGAAAAGCTGTGGAAGAAGATGGATCCTCACAAAGGAATTTGACGGCCCTGATTGAAGATCTTGAGCTTTTTTGCAAATAATGGATATAATTATTAAAGCTGGGAGATCGGGACGTTGTTTTTATAATATCTATTATTAGAAAGTCAACAATTAGTGATGTCTCTCATATGCAGTGATATCTGAGGAGAGTCATCAATGCATTTTTTAATGGCCAGGATATCACTTGATTTTGTAGGGAAAAATGAATTAATTGAATAAAATGGTCCTGAGTGTGAATATTAAGAAAAAGTTCTCTTTGGTTCAGACACATTTTAGTTATGAGGATTTCATTGGAGGCTATGCTCATTTTACTTACTCTAGATTTTAAAGGAGGCTTATGAGTCCAAATAACGAAGGTGGATTAAGGATTGTACCCTCACTTGTCCTAAAAATGATGAAGAATCAAAATGGGGCTTTAATATAGGAAATTTAGACTAGACCTTTGATTGAATTTAACCTGATTTTAATGGCCGGAGTAGAATACACCTACCCCACATAGCCATATTAGGCTTGCATTTGATTACATATTGATCTGATTAAGTAATTAAGCACCTAAAAATTAAAGTTAGGGGTCAATAATATAATTGGGTGGCTCTTACCTAATGGCTTTGAAGATGCTAATAGATAATTAATATTTTAATCTAGATGCTGGTGTTATGAACCCAACGCCGAATAACCATGACACAAGCCCAGATGGCACGATGGGTAAAAACTTAGACCGAGTCCAAGATAATATGGGGGCCCAAGTAAGACGCAGCCAGCGTGTAGGAAGAAGACCTGGAAAATACGGGAACTTGAGGATGTGGAATGAGTATATAAGACAAATTCTGTTAGTGAAGGGGGTGTGGAAGATTTGGACAGATTCTCTCTCTCCCTTCGTCTCTATCCTGATAGCTGTGGCTCTCTCTCTCTCTCTCTCTCTT